CAGGGTACTGCCGGAACGTACCCTGGTACTAGATACTACTATCTAATATGCCGGACCATACCTCACCTACTCCACTAACGTAGTAACGAGTCTAGGGAGTCGCCTACGCCTACTCCCTAACCCCCTAACCCTAACCCTAACGCAAAAAAGGGGCTTGAACGACCGACGGCTGGCGTACCTCCAGCCACTGCGTTTTATATAAGCGCAAGCTGCCTAACCCTTGATAGCCATACAAACACTTGATGTGATGTGTGGCTGTACAGTAAATACAGTAAATAAATACATTATTCATTAACATACGGCTACCGTACCCGTAGCCACTGCCTAATAGATCAAGCGGCCCAAGGATAGAGAACATGGGTTCCAATAATATTGATATAATATAATATTTATATTGATGTAAATGACATTGGACCCATGTTCTCTATCCTTGAACCGATCAAGCGGCACAATTTGCAAGTGGCCTGTAACCAGTAACCTGTCACAAATTACCTCTGAAAAGGCTTTGTCACCCAAATGGCAATGTGCATCGATATATGAAGACATCAGATATCTATTCTATGTACACTATGCTAGGCTACAGTATATTTATAATAACAATCATGGAGATGACGCATCAAAACACCAACACTAGCAAAAACATCATCGCCGAACGAAACGCTATAGACGTACTCCATAAGTCGTTATTAGCCGTGTAAAAGCGGCCATTCCGACGTTGGTGACAGTCTTACATAGCAGAGTCATATAGAATGTTCAGTTGTTCTGCGATCCGCGCGACTGTTTACACGAGGTCGTCGATTGTGTATTTCCTTACCAACCCGCAACCGGCGTTAAGACATACATAGTTGGTTTAAACGACAGTAGGCCTAGTCACTATAATGTTGCGGCAACGTGGAAAAGCACATGATAAAAGGCCAGTGATTTCAGATCTGGCTGCTACTCTGGACGAAATTCCCCCAATACAACCCGACATACACGAGGAAGCTGAGCGGTCTCACACAGTTCTCCTATCGGCGTATTCCGAACCTGGGTAGGCCCTATGTTACGTATTTTAATTGATGAAATGTGTGGATTTTATTACTCTCGTGCAGTATATATAGTATAGGTCAACATGATACTCAGTCGATCAAGAGGCTAATATTTTTTCTAAACCGTGAAAGTAGGCTTACGTGTAGGCCTGTACGGTGTACCGTAGATACAAGTAACAATGTCTATAATGTAGTAACCCAAACCCAGGATAGGGTTACAACGCGTCGCTATGGTTTTCTGTGGAGGAAATTCAGGGAACCCCTGAGTGAATCACTCAGGGCAGTTTGCTGGTGCGTTTTCAGAGACTAGAACTTCCAAACTGAGTTTATTCTCAACACGAACCTTTCTCCGCTATCTTCGAACTTACTATATGTATCACGATTCACAATACTCTGTATTAAACTAATATAACCTGTTACAAAAATTCGAAGTGACGAGCGCCATTTCTGTTGACCTGAGACGTACTTCAGTTTGAAGAGCGGATTCACCGACCAATCGGAGGGCACTGCGCTTGCCGCACGTCACAGGTCAACAGAAATGGCGCTCGAAATATCCGCCGCTCGTCACTTCGAATTTTTCTAAACAGGTTATATTAGTTAATTTAATACAGAGTATTGTGGTACATATAGTAAGTTCCAAGATAGCGGAAAAAGGTTCGTGTTGAGAATAAACCCAGTTTGGAAGTTCTAGTCTGAAAACGCACCAGCAAGCCGCCCTGAGTGATTCACTCAGGGTTTCCCTGAATTTCCTCCACAGAAAACCATAGCGACGCGTTGTAACCCTATCCTGGGTTTGGGTTACATTATTAGCTCATCTGACGAAGTCAGATACAGCTTGTAGAATCGCATGATCGTCCGTCCGTCCGTCCGTCCGTCAACAGTTGGGCACAAATCTAAACGGCTCGACGTACGGATTCGAAAGTAGGGGGGGTAATCCGAAAACGAGTTGGGATGTCGAAGTTGGGGATCAAAGGTCAAAGGTCAAATGGTGTAAAAGAAGGGGGAACATTCCCTCCTTAACTTAAGGGATAGGGAGGAAATGCAGAATTGCGGCACAAATCTAAACGGCTCGACCTAGGCTCGCGATAGTCAGTGTACAGCATCATGGTAGGAAAAGCCATCACTGTGCCGAAATTGAGGTCACAGGTCAAAGGTCAATGGGCACGGGGCAGATTTTAGACATTTTCTGAGGACATGGTCTGACGGAGCGATTGAAAAACTTTTTTGTTTCAGCGGTGACCTAGCATTTTTATGGCATTATTGAAAGGACCATAAAATCTACTTTCT